GATAGCTTACTTCATGAAGCCGCAAAGCGACGCACTCATGAGGAACATCTGCTCCTCCTTGCGGTACATCAAGAATGTGCATGTACGTTCACACTAATTTATACCTAAGCACATTCAGAATCATTGTCCGAGCGAGAAACTTTCGATTAGACACTGTCCGTCGTCAAAGTACCCTATGACTTTCTTGAAACTAACGCTTTTACTTAATCATATTTCAGGGAATTTTAACTAAGATTAAAGCACTATCCGCAAAGCCATACCAGTGGAAATCGTTGTACAATGTAAGTTCTTTCACACAAATATTTTTAATGTAAACGAAACAACCCACTATAAAACACAAACAATATTGAACTTCATTGCCAGACACTGTACAACGCGGTTCTGATCTGCGAGATGTGTGAAAGTTCTGGGAAAGTCAGCAAGTTTTTAGAACAACTGGCATCTTTTGACAACTCCAAATTATATGAGGTAAACTATCTTCATAATCATAAGGGACTATTCAGGTATATTGATATGTTTCCTGTCTAACACTAGATAATGTTTGCAGATGGCCTTATACATGAACAGAATCATAGACTTCGATTTATCTAAAACCGAGGGAAAGTTTACCGTCAAGCCTGGAGTGGACCCTGAATTGGATAGAAGTAAATATTTCCATCCACAAAGATGGAGATGTAGATGACGAATTAGTTATTTTGCTGCTAAAAACACGAAACACTGGTGGATTTTATATGACAGTTCCTTTCGGCCAAGTCCTTCTTCTCCAAGCGAGGAAACCCCATGATGAACAGCTTCAGCTTAACTCTAATTTTACAGATATCATGTTTAGCAGACTACCTAATCTCCTTAAAACTATATTTAGAAAAACAAACAATGGCGAGTCTCCATGGCTTAATGTCGGAGACTGCGAAGGTGGAGATGGAACGCCTGCCTACATACATACAGGAGTGCAGTATGCTGTACATGCCACACCTCGGGTATCTACTCGGCGTGAAGATATGGGATGACAATCTCACGGCTGAGGATAAACAGCTGCCTGATATGAAGTTTATGGTAAGATGGTCCAGAAATTAATCATATTCATTGCTAGGCATCTTTTTCAAGCAAGAGGTCGTGATTGACATTAAAAAAATCTAATTATTAGCAATTAGTATGAAGTTTACAGATTCAGACTATTTATTTATGGATACTTTTGCCTTTTCAGTTTCAAAACAACGACTACATTCATTACAAAAGTAAGGGATGCGAAGGTTAGTATTAAAATGTTTCCATTACCTAGACTACTATCCTGTCCTTATAATGCATACCTCATATCTACTATAAATAAACTTTGTGGTTTTAAAAGCTGCGGCTATGGGGTTTTATTGAAATAAAAACGACTTCAACTTGGATCTGGCTATCTGATTTGATCTGATCTGACTGATCTACCTATGACTATGATCCTCAGAGCTGGACGTGATGATAGGCGACACGTACCCTGAGATAGTGGCGCACGAGACACGTATCATGATGCGACTCACTGCCGTCATGTTGGAGCATCTACACACACTCACTGCACTCGTCGACAAATGTGCTGAGCTGGACTGGTAAGGAGCTATTGCAGCATGTAGTATAGAGACAGAATAGGAGAGCATAAATACAAAATATTATATTACATAAATATTTCTGGGTATTTATTTTCTAAATAGTTTGGTATTGCCACTGAATCATGGCAGATTCAGCTAAACACCAGTCTTTTGTATTATGAAGTAATCACCTCAAGCTGTACCTCAAAACATTGAGTGGTCCACAAGCCACAACTCATTTAGGGTGATGCCATAAACTCATTAGATGTCCGTGGGGATCTGGTAACGATTTTATTTTAGTGCATAAAATATTTTTACATCAGTAAAAAAGGTGCTGCTAAGGAGTACGTTTGTTGCAAAACTTAAACAATTCGCTCGGCAGCCTCATAGCAATATCAAAAGTATGCAAAGAGTTTAACTACGTCCGACCCACGCTGAGTACAGAGAAGATCATCAGCATCAAGGCAGGTCGCCACCCGCTGTACATGGTGACGTGTGACAGCTTCGTACCCAATGATGTGGAGTCCAGTGTTGAAGCTGGGTGTGTCAAGATACTCACTGGACCCAACTCTAGTGGGAAGTCTGTTTATATGAAGCAAATAGGTAAGGACTCAGATGCTCGTTTTCACCAACATTTCTTAAATTTTAAGCAACCTTTAAGCTAAGACAGGTGACACTCAACGACACTGGTCTTTTGTTTTTTTTTTATTGCATAAGCCGGTAAATGAGCAGACGGATCACCTGACGGTAAGCAATCGGCGCCGAACATGGACACCTGGAACACCAGAGGCGTTACAAGTGCGTTTCCGGGTTTTTGGGGATTAGGAGTTTGAGGATCGTTGGGGATTCAGGGATTGGGGAGATTGGAGAAGGGGAGGGTAATTGGGCCTCCGGTAACCTCACTCACACGACGAAACACAACGCAAGCGTTGCTTCACGTCGGTTTTCTGTGAGGCCGTGGTATCACTCCGGTCGAGCCGGCCCATTCGTGCCGAAGCATGGCTCTTCCACACTCTCCCACACATGGTTGTGTAATTAACCTACATATGACATCACAGTGACACAGCTAACAAAGTAAAAGGTATTTCTAGGTAGTTTCAGAAGGTGGCGTCTTTAGCGAACATGAATTTTGAAACACAGTATAGCCAGGTACTGATATGAATACTGTTTAGGTCTGATAGTATACCTGGCCCACGTGGGCAGCTTCGTCCCGGCGCAGGCGGCCACACTGGGCGTACTGCGGCACATACACACTCGCATACACACCACCGAGTGTGTCGCCGCACACATGTCTGCATTCCTCATAGACCTCAGACAGGTATACAGACTATTAATATATACTATAGCTCTAGAATTGCGTTTTCTTCGTGAAATCAGGGGCAACCAACGAGCTGACATGTCACTTAATGGTAAGTGATCAGCGCCGCCCATGGACATCTGCAACACCCTGTTCATACGGGCCAGACTAGTCAAGTTGCGACCTAATTAGAAGTTCTATGTCATAGGCTACACCTTGTAGGTTATAAAGTATATACAAAATATTAGATTTTTTCAGCTTACATCATACTTCAGCATTCTTATCTTCCAGATGGCCTTAGCTCTTCAAGAGTCCACATCTAACTCCTTGCTAATAGTGGATGAGTTCGGTAAGGGCACCTCTGCTACGGATGGCCTGGCTCTCCTGGCCGCCTGCCTCAACACCCTGCTGTTCCGCGGAGACCAGTGTCCACATGTACTGCTGGCCACGCACTATCTTCAGATCAAGGAGTACATCGTCGACACGCCCATCGTACGTTACCTGGTAATGTTATGAATATTAATTGTTATTAACTTATAGCTAAGTAAAACTACAAGTCGGTTGATGGTCGACTGCGTAATAACTGTACTTATTTTTAACACAAATCGTGTTTTGTCTAATAAATAAAATATTTTCAGTATCAGTAACAGTATTTAGGGAACAGAGAGTATAGTTCCCTAAGATCGGAAAAGGAGGATCCTCCGACCAGGCGAGGTGATCGTGCCTGGCGGGCTTTCTGCCCAACAGTTCGTTGGGTTTTTCTATCCATGTTTATTCGCTTGTAAACTATGCATGTGCGATGCAGGATTCTTGTGACGTCATCCGTTGACATGTGGCATGCGTCGCCACAAGTATATATGGGGGAGACCCCATAATCATGTAATCAACCAGTCCACGCAGCACTCTCAAGAGTAATACATTTTCAACCTTATTACAACGGAATAAGGTTTAAAGTCTATAAAAGGACCAATTTCTACATTATTAACAGTAGTAACCAATTTTCTACGAAACTTTTTCCGTAAGAAGAGATACAAAGAAAATACTCTTTCACATATTAGCGTTTCGAGTACGTGATCCAAGATGGAGAGCCAGTTTTCTTGTTCCGCGTGTGTGAAGGGGGCGCTACCTCAAGCTTCGCACTGCAGGTCGCGGCCGCCGCAGGACTTGGACCTGGCACTGTCGCCAGAGCAAAGATTGTCATGGAGTCTGTTATGGTAATAATAGTGTATTTGTATAACAGTCATAATAATAGTACAATACAATATGGGTTCCACTAGGCACAGTCCTAGGTCTAATGCCTTTTTCAGCGTATCTTTTTGTTTCCAGAGCAACTCCCTGCCACCAGAGAACAAAAAAATAACAAGCAAGCAGAACATGTGCATAGAAAGAATAAAAAACAAACTACTGACAGATATTTAATTATATTTTAAAATTGTTACAATACAATGTGTATAATGATATTCAGCTCAGCGCAGCTAATAATATTGGTATAAAATTTTAAACACATCAAAAAATTAAATTAAATACTACTTACACTATTCATTGACTCTTAAATAAATTATAATAATATAGTTTATACAATAAGCTGGAATGCTTCCAATGCATTTTCACGAAGCAATTCAATACATACATGTTTACATTTCGATACATTCTTAGGACAACAATCAATTAAGTGGAATATCTCCATGTTTTGTTACACTATCACCCCAATTACTTCATCACAAATGCTTCAGCTTTTAGCTAACACATACATTAGTACAAAACAGTCAAGCATCAGACACAAAAGTATTAAAACAATTACGTTTCCAAAACTTGCCGTTATTCATCACATTTCGTTTGAACTCATATAAAAACTTTCATACATCATAATATAATATTTATCATTATTACATTTACTTTCATATAAACATAATAAGAATTTCACTTTGAGCATTGGCACCCTAATATTTTATGGCCGATTAAGTAAAACTTATTAAGTAAAATGCGCATATTTTTGTTTTCTCAAAGAACTTTAGACAATCGCTAGCACATAATGCTTTATCATAAAACCAAATAAATGCTTGCAAACAACCAGAAAATTTGTTTAAATGATATGGAGTGGACTGCCCACCAGGGTACTTGGTTGGTGGTGGACAAGTTTACATGGACTTCATCTGCTGCATCAGTTCTTCGAGAGAGAGCTCAGAGGCAGCCACGGCACCACCAGTACTTGATTCCGGGGTACTATTATCTACGGGAACACTATAGGCCACCTAGATAAAAAAAAAAGATTATTGATTTCCTATTCAAAATTTTCGAATATTAAATAATTTAAAATCTTAGTATTTATGTACCTGAACTCCTTCTACTAATTTGAGGTGTGAGCAGTCATCATCCTCTGGTGTGTTTTCATCCACCAAACTGATTCCTGTAAATATGCATACAAACATTAAAAACACCAATCAAAGTAAATTAAGCAGTTTTCTGACAAAATAAAGTTCGAGGATATTTTTTCATTTTTTGTATTCGTTAAATATAAACAAACCCCATTCATTATCAGTATGCACTGGTGCTAGGTCTTCAGTGACCTCGGTGGCTACCTCCACTACAGGCTTTATATTATGTTCCTCGCGACGCAGACGGCAATACATGTCGTCGCATTGAGGATTTGGCTGAAAAAATATTAATTATATTTTGTTTTAACAAACAACCAACAGAGCTGAACCAACAATAGGTACAATGTAACTAAAAATGTATTGTACACCTGATTGAAAAAGAGTAATCTATGGAGTTTCTTGCTTGTTCTTCTCCATAGGAATCCATACTTTGGAATGAGCAACTAGCTTCACTAGAAGATTGACAGACAGACTAACACATTTTTTTGTTTGACATTCAAAAATATCTTCCTGGTCTCATTGAAATAAATTTTGACTTTGACTTTTACAAATTACTTATATTACTTAACTTTCTAAAAACTTTAAAACATTGAAGTTATAGAACCTTGTAAAGTAAAGGAAGGATAAGTAGACTTTATGTTTTACTCACCTTTAATGCCATTATAGGGAAGAAATCTGTTAATGCACTATATCCCAGGTAATGGGTGACTGTGCCAAACTCCAGCAAGTATTTCAATGTGTTTTGAACTGAAATAGAATACAATAATGTTAAAAAACATACTATAAACATGAAAGCCATGTAAATAAATAATTAATCAGTAAGTTACCTAGGAATCCTGCCACTATACCCATGGTAGTTGGCAGACTGGCCGCACATACTCCCTCCCTCTTCAACGTCTTCTCATCGATTTTCGATGCAACAACTAAAGGTGGTGCGCACTGAAATGGTGAAATATCCCAAATAAGTTTTCTTTTAGCAGTCAAAATTTTATTAGGTCCATCTTTAACTTCATTGCAAAAGGATAAAGTGGAACTTCTAATTAATGTTTGAGTTTGGCTGTTATATTGGCTTATATGATGATGATGATGATGTTATATTGGCTTTTTTTACATTATGTATTACATAATCTATATATATAAAAGAAAGTCGTGTTAGTTACACCACTTATAACTCAAGAACGGCAGAATAGGACCGACATAGGATACTTTTTGATCAAATTTTTTTTTTACTTTTTACCGAAAGTCACGAACGGGGACGGGAAAAAATGGGATTACGCGTACGAAGTCGCGGGCAGAAACTAGTTACATATGTATGCATATTAAACTTACAGCAAAACAAGCAGTCTGGCCTGGCACAATGAACTGTATGTGACCAGACACTGCATTCTCACTGACGCCAGACTCAAACCACTTCTGGTTGAGTTCATTGCAGGCTGTGTTGATTGCCATGCGAGCTTCGAAGTTGTCTACACAGCTCAGTACTATGTCTACTGGACCGCCGGTCAAACTGCCAGTCCTGGAATCATTTTAAAAGATATCAATCTCTCAAATCAAGATGTAAGAAAAGAAGATGTAAAAGTTGTACATTCATTTATGACATGAAATGTTATTTTATTTAACCCATCCCAAAGCGGTCACCGGTGACCGTTCTTCACTAACTACATTATAGATCTTATTTCTAATGTTTAGAGACTACTTTTGTATGAACAAATTTAGGGGATGAATTTCAACAGGTTAATATATAATATTTAAATACCAAGTCTTATTACCCCCCTAGCCTTCCCCAATCCCTGACTCCTCAACAATCCTCAACTTCGTAATCCCCAATAGGGCCGGCCAGTTTAGTTTTTTATTCATGTTTATGTTTTTGGTTATAGCTTACTTGATAGTATCACAGAACTTCTGGAAGTTCTCAACTGTAGTGATATTATAATTGTAGGCATCGATAGCTACATCAGGGTTGATATTCTGCAGAGTAGAGGCTGCTGCATCCACCTTGCTGAGGCCGGCCTGGTGCGGCTGGAAGAACAGTCGGTTCATGTTTGCCAACTCAACTTTGTCGTAATCAAACAGGATCAACTGGAAAGAAATATTGGTAATGAAATTTTGTAAGTTACAAGCCATTTTGTAAGTTTAAGTTTATTTACATTCACTAAGAAAAGTCACAAAGATATATTATTGAAATATTTAGTTTATCTTACCTTTCCGATCCCACACCTGGTTAGCATCTCAGCAGTAACACTACCAACACCTCCAACACCCACCACAGCAACTGACATCTCACGGATCTTCTCATAGTTGTTAACAATGCCCATTCGCTTCAGAGCCATCAGACGACTATAGACAAAGATAACAACAGATATTTACATTAAATCTACTTCTAAAATTGGTTAGAATTTATTCAGTTGGAAAGAATCGTGTCTAATACATTATTCCGAACAAACTAATTGCCGATGATTTTAAATTTCTATGAGATTTAGACATAGCTAACTTCATTCAGATGGCAACATATTGCCGACATTTTCTCCATGTTTTTCACAAAGTTGGATTAAAACGTTCAACCATTTATTTTGTAAGTTCAGTATTTAAAACTATTAATTTGAAAAATTATGAATGTAGTACACCTGTCGAAGGAAAAATGAAAATTACCTGTATGGATTAGAATCCACAACTTCGGACGACATGACATCAATTTTCTGGCGTGCTGGGCTCGCATTGCCCTGGACAGAGGCTAGTTGGGCTTCTAGCTCCTTCACTCTCTTTTGTAACTCTTCCACGGTAGACATTTTCACTTAATTTTTCCCAAAATTGGCAAATTCAGTGACTATCGTCAAGCCGTTTCACTCTTACTGTTGTCAATGTCAAAGTGACATTTCTTGCCACGATATCACCACGTTTCATTATACGCTGAAAGTCCTGCATAGAACTTAATACACATTTAAAAACTTTAATAGGAATTATAAGGTAATTCTTAATACGTTTTCGGTTATTGACGCACGCAACCTGGGTGTCTTCATGTCTCGAGTAAATGCGTTGCTTATGGGTAGGCGTGCTCCATTATAGAACGTATCGTTGTTTACCATCAGGCCACTTAGCGGCCAAACGCCTACCTATCACCAATAAAAATATAATAACTAACAAAACATGAGATATTTATAATCATCACCTACATTATACTAAGCTAGTGCATCATAACTTGAAATCAAACAAGCTTGTTATCTATAAATGTTCCTAAATAAATATTTTCAGTTATGTTTTATGTAAACAAACAGGTTATTGCCCACATTTTAATCAACAACCTTCATAGGGTCAATGTCCAATAAAGTTTTGGATGAGGTGAGAAGTAGGTAAAATGTTGTAAAACATTCCATCCGGTAAGTATGCAGATTCTACGGCAACTGTGGGAAGCTAGCTGTTTCGTAACCCATTTTGTTAAATCTGTAGGTTAGATGAAAGAACCAGAACCTTATGTTGTGATTGATTATCTGTTGCCAATTTACTTTCTTATAAGCAATCTTATATGATAGGTAGTTTTGCGTACCATGCATCATAGTAATCCGATGAAAGTTCACGAGCTTTCAGGTTCATACCTACCTATTGCATTGTATAAGTGGTCCATAGAAGCTTCATGCATCCTACTTAGTATCTAATGCAGGATAGATAGACCACTATAACTAATTAGGTAGCTGTAACAAGCTAGATTACAGAAATCTTACCACTAAGACCAAATATGTTTTTTGTGAGCTAGATGTTTCTAAGGAATTGTGCACAATCGGTTTATCGTATGTCTATCTAAGCAGTGAGGTAGTTACACTCATACCCACGAGGACCACGGGGTGCTACTTTATTGATACGAGAATCGAATCAGTTCTAGATAGTGCTCTAAGAAATTATCAATCATCAACATTAAAAAGTTAAACAAGTTCCGTAAAATGAGGTCATTTACTAGCTGCATTCAGTTTATCAGGCAATAATGCTATTTTAATTGAAGATAGTTCCTACCTGCCTAATTTGTGTGCCTAATAATGGCAAGATATACAGCATATCAACAATTCATAATGCATCTCTAACTTAAACTGAGAAACTGAGTAGGATGTCAACAATTTATTGGTGAATTAAAATATATAGGGAAAGAGTTTCTGCGTAAATGTTAGATTCTAATTAAATAGATGCGAACCTAGTGCACAAAAGTGCATGAAGAACCTGCGTCATACATGATATTTCTGCGATCTCGAAGGTTAATCACTAACCAATTCTCCTAGAAAATAATAAAACACTGAAATACCAACGTCAGGCGGAATGCATCGAGCATTTAGCATACTCAGTGCCTACCTAGCTCTGACCTAGGAATGTACCTACCTAAAATATTTTATCAAAGTAAAATCTACGTTGCAATAAAAAATGTGACCTGTGATCAAGATGAAAAAATACCTCTGTGCCTTTAACTTTTGCGTGAAAATGATACGCAAACCAAACAAATGTAAGTAACTTTCTGTATTTTTAAATATTCTAAACATCTAAACACAAACTAAAGGTTCAACAGTAAAGGTCTTCCTACTATTTCGTAATATTATAAAACATGTCATAAAAACTGGTTCAAAAATGGTAGGGCTCTATAATCCGACCAAATTGAAAAGCTGTAGTACAATGCTGCAGACCACGTCGATAGCTTTAATTAACATCAGCTGGGTTTTGTAAAGGCTCTTCATTACTTAGTGATAGGCAATGCTGTTGGCTGCGCGTTGACTGCCGGTGCACGCGGTTATTTAAAAGTAAATAAATATAGTCTATTCCATTTTAACTGCACTTTTTTAGTTTTAAAAAGTGAATGAATGAATGGATTGTTAAAAATATAATGCAGTGAAGTTGTGACGCAAAATTGGTTTTGTTTAAGAAAACGGAAAAGTTAAAAAAGTAAGTTAATTTTTATCTATAATTATGCTCCTCTTATTAAGCCTTTATTATTTATTTTTCTTGCACTGTGTTACCTATTTTTCTGCACAAATAATAATAATATTATGGAAGTTTTCCGTTATTAAAGTATTGGCAAAACATTTACCAAAGTTTTGATTTTTACGGGAAAAGTTCATCAATAAATAAACGCCTACTTAACTATGCATATTTCTAGACTAGTCCATTCTTAATAGTAATTCGGAATTATAGACTCATAATAAAAAAATATATTAGCATTTTAAATAGATATTGGTAGATCATTTCAGGCAAATAGGTCGATAAAAGAAAATCTATGGCCTAAGAACCAGTTATTTTGCGTATTTTTCCAAAGGCGTGCTAATGCTATTTTGAAATTAGACACGATAATGAAGAACTTGAAAGTTATTTACCACCTTTTCTCTTTTTTATCGGAATGAGAAGATTATTTCAATGATAGAGAGCGTGCTTGTGTTGTGTATTAATTTAAAAAACAATAATAAAGTAAAATATATTTTCTAATTAACTAATACCTAATTACATAAAGACCTATGGCCATTAATTTTCACTTGAGTTGAGTCACAAAATATCATTTTCGGTGCGATCAACGATAGTTAGATACCAATTAGGTTTGGTAATTTATTTACCATTGTTACCTATTGGTATACAATTATCTTTCACTCTCGTAAGGTTTATAGCTTACGAGATTGAATTATATATGCTCTCTAATAACTAACAAATTCCCACTTAAAGGATCCACTTCTAAAAATGACTTTCATAAGACCACTAATCCAATTAAACTACCTATTTCTACATATGTGAGTCCCTATATCACTGAAGCCTTTGAAACTCACTTGATCAGCCCGGTCTTTTTTACACCCCATAATGTGAAAGCACATGACTTCAAGTCTAATAAGGGTAGTTCTAACCAGTATAGTGTATCAATGTGTTATTTGTTCATTCCCTAAAGTTCCTCATGGACTCATAACATAATATCTGATGAAAAGAACTCCAGATTTTATGTTCACCTATGCCTACCCTTTTGATAGTTAAAAGGCGCAGGGGTAATCCCATCCCTCTCTAGGCCTTCTCCACAAAAGGTAAGAACTTTTTCAAAGATTCCTCCGTCATACAAAAGTCTCTAGGTAATAGATGCTAGGTAACTAATGACAATCCTTACTAATATTATAAATCGGAAAGCGAGTTTGTTTGTTTGTTTGTTTGTTCCACTTTAACGCCGTAACTACTAAACCGATTGCTTTGAAATTTTGCAGACGTAAAGTTAGAAGTCCGGATTAAATAATAGGGTACTTTTTATCCCGAAAAAAATTGATATTCCCGAGGGAAAACAAAAGAATTGGTATAGATGGCGCTGTGTGTATTGATATATGTCACATAGGCTACTTTTTATCCTTTTGTGACGCGAGCGAAGCTGCGGGGAAAAGCTAGTATTACATAATTGATAAGCATACACTTAGGTATCTACTAGTATAAAAAGGTTACCACATGTCATTTGCCCCGGTGATGCACCGATTTTCTTTTTTAAGTACTAAAAAGACACGTGGTTATACAAGTTATGCAATCTTGGTCTGAGTATTAGGTCATAGTTTGAGTACTAATTAGCTTATTCTTATTATTTCTGCTTCCTAGTTTATACCTACTGCGAAATAGCGATGGTTTTGCCTGGCGAATCGTGAACATTTTAGATTTTTACGGTGATAATCTGTAATAGTAATAGTGAACATTTAAGTTCGTAGATATGGTTCTTATGCAGCCATTTACAAAGGGTTAAATAAATAGATGCATTATAAGTTGGACGTCTATGTTGTAAAGCATTCAAAGAAAAAAACAAAGTATTGGAAACAAACAAAATTGGGGTAATTATAATGATGAAATAATAATAATAGGTACTACGTTTCCAAACATTTTTTGTAACTTGATTCGGATTGACAAAAACTTTTATAGACGTTAACGAGTTATTTGAAACTGGTTCCGCGTCTGATGGAACCCTTGCATGCAAATCGTCGAAAAACTATACCTATGTAGGTGTGTGGTGTCCAAATTTAAAAATACAATTTGATTACCTACTTGAATTTTCTACAAAACTTTATTCTGCACTATCACCGTGGACGTCAGGGTGGTTATTAGTCTATCAGATAAACTCCTTCATCTTCACCAGGCGAAGATTCTCCAGCACTCCAGACTCCATATATTTCATATCATTGACATTTTCCTTGTTCCACAATATGATAGACATATGGTTCTTCATTAAATTAGGTACCATACCAAAAAGTATACACATAGCTTGTTAACTGTCTACTGCCAGAAAGAAGTATTAGATCACATTAAATCTTTTAAATTGTAAGATGTCTACGCACCTCTATAATTTGTTTGACCTCTAAGGTGTCCATCTTCACGCACGTAGTCAATGGCTATTTGATGGGTACATCCGCAATCCATTTGTCTACAGATGAGCCGTCGACAATAAAGGACAGGACCCTACATACTCTACCCAGTCTTATTCAATATACATCCACTTGAAGGAGACCCTTTTTATTGTAGGTTTGCTACAATAAAAAACAAATTTAACATTTTCAAAACAAGTTTAACATTTTCATAAAATAATCGAAAGATAGTAGATTTAAGAATTACCAAAATATTTACGAATGGTTCCAGAATGATCTTTGTTAAAAAAATCTATAAACTTCATCTATCATCAGGTGACCGTACATTGAAGATATATCTATGCAAAACCCATTAGGAGCCCTATAGAATAATAATATGGTGTAATACTGTAGTAAGAGACCGGTTTAATTTAAATTATGGATACTTAATTGCTGCAATCAAGATATTTAACTTTTTCGCTTCGTCATTAGGCATGCCGAAAACAGTGGCTTGTTTTCCACGTTTCTTTTGAATACCAAGTTTCACATCACATCACTAGCCATAATATAATTACTGGCCACTGCTGAGCAAAGGCATCTTCTCACATGGAGAAGGAATTACGATTAATCATCACGCCTGCCCAAGGCGGGTTGGCGATTTCGAACTAATAAGTCCTGGTTTCTTGACGCCAAAGTTTATTGCCTGTATAGAACAATAAACAAGTAACCTATTGATTGGTCTAGTAATTTATATTCGAATTGATTCGTTTAAATGTTGACATTATCATAAAGTAATGAGAAAGTTAAGCAAGAATTTTAACATTAAACCTAATCACCAATATAACTGACCTCTAGACAATGTATTTGCATAGTGCGTCAGTTTTGTTGTAAGTAGTTGCCATCAAAGTTCCACCATAGCGTTGGCGTGTTAAAGTTATTTAACAATATTAGGTACTGAAGATATCCAAGTAGTGAACTATCTAGTATTTGAAGTTTTAAGTGCAATTTAGGTAATACCTAGGTACAAATAATACTTACGATAAGCCTTAAAAACTAACAATTCAATTAAGGTAAGTAATGCACTAATGCATGATTTAATTTATGTACAGTTAGGAAAGTAATTAGGGCCAAATTAAAAGTACCCTTAACCGACGAGCATGCATGAAAAGATTGATGACTGTTAATGAAGCGAAAGAGGTATGTAAGAATCGTAGTAATTGGCGTTCCTTAGTCTCTGCCTACCCCCATGGGAGACAGGCGTGAAGTTATGTATGTATGTATGTATATACAGTTAGGAAACGATTTTTTTCTATAAACAATACTTTGGTATGTACTTAATATTGAGTTATTGTAACATATTTTAATGTTAGTATCCTTTTTGGACCTTTAGACTAAAATAAAATAAAAATTCCTTAAAGTTTATTTTAACCCATTTGAGCCCGCCGTCCCCATATGGGGACAGGTTTTCTTTTACCCGCTGGTTATCAATTATTTTAGCTATCTTCACATTTCATGGGTATTTATAATGAGGAGTAGTGTATTTTCCTAAAATTATTAGAACTTTTGACAAATTGCTACAAAAAAGGGGTCATATTGTCAATTTTATCAAGAGGAAGTGAAATGGGAATTATTATTGAAAGCAGAGGCGTTTTATAGTACGTTATTATGTAGATTTATAAAACTTTTTTGTGATTATTGCTTGCGTATAGTGTCAATTAAAACAATATTGAAGAATATCCTTATACTTTCAATTCCACTTAGGGGAAAGTTAGAAAAAATGACGGTGTCCCCGTATGGGGACAATGGGCACATCTGTAGTATATTTTTAAAACATTTATACCTGATTTGTATTTTGTTTTCCAATTTATAAAGGTCACCTATAGGCTAAACTTAGTTATAGCTAATACTTGGTGACAACAGACGTTCACGAAGAGCATCACCAATTCCCACATATCTTTACGCGTTCATATTCTAAAATCTGATGGGCATCAAGACCGAAGATGCAAAAGTCCACCTACAGTACCAGGCATCACATCCGATACCAGAATTCAGCAGTAGGGGGCATTTCCTCCAGCTGTATTCTGGTGTCGTCACAGCGAAGTCCACCCAGAGGATAGAGTAGCATTATGCCCTGTATACGTTGACCACCGCCGTGTCTTCAGGGAAGTGATCGACGACGATAATCTTCCACGTCCAGCTTAGGTTCTGGCTGTGGTGCGGAGCGAGGGGAACTGGAAGACATCTCTTTTTGCGAAGCAGTCATAGTAGCAAGAACAGATCGCCGCCCAGAACCAGACCTCTACCTGTAAGGTGCGTGGCGTTACGCGCGTGCTTAACGTCACGCACCTTACAGAAAGTGCAGATCAGACCGCCTTAGATCGAGATAGCTCTGTGAGACAGATGCCCGACTGCTATGAATAACCTAGTGGGTCACCGGGGCTTCGGCTTGAAGCAGAATTAGGAACGTGTTGGTTTTTAGCCAGTAAGAGTCCCCCAGGCGGAAAACGCAATGCATGATTTATACCCTCAAAAAAAATATAGGCGCGTCACATCAAATTGATTTAGACATTTTCCGCAGAGATTTAGTTAATATCTGTTACGATACGCAGTTCGTCATAAAAAAAACTGTGATATCAATGCAAATGATGCGTTAGAACCTTATGTGTCGAAAACAGTTACTACTTCGAAAAGTACTACACATGAGTCCGTTGTCCCCAATCAAGGACGGCTTTTTTTTTAATACTTCTAAAAATATTTTTTTAATTTTTTTTGCTAATTATAGTTTGTGGGCGTCATATCATTGAGTTAATAAAGTTTTTTTTATTAAATTATGTGTAGTTTGCATTTGGTCCCAAATGGGTTAACATCGATCCAATCGATGTTAAACTTAGCTAACATAAAATTTAAGTCATACCGAGCGGCTGCAAAAAAAACACGGAAGAGTTGAATTCAGATAAAATCATAACAAAGAAACGTTGTCCAAATCTGAGGTTAAATCAGTAATGACAGTAAAGTGCAAAGTTTTAAATGAGTAATGAATCATTACATCACATCTTTATCTCTTATCTCTGTATTTTATATGCATGATATGCGGGGAGATAGCATTTTATTTACTCTTAGATACTAAGAAGTTTTGAACGTGCTCTGTGTTTGATTCTTACTTATTAATATACAATGTTATACACTCCAAACTGCCTCGTTGGCCGAGTGCAAGGGGCAAGGGGTCTCGAGTCCGATTCCCGGGTCGGGCAAAGTATCACAGGGTTTTTAAAAAATTCTCAGTAGTAGCATATGGCAATAGGCTCACCCCTATTACATGGGACTCATAACATAAATGGTGAAAAGTGGGTGTTCCATTGTACAGTGGCATTAAGTGCCGTAATGTGCACCTCTACCTACCCCTTCGGGGATAAAAGGCGTGATGTTATATACGTATGTCATTATTGTCATATATGTATACATTCAAAGTGAAAGTCAAAGTATTTATTTCAATTAAACCATAATTTGGTACTTTTGAAACGTCAACCAATTCAAAATAAATCTGTCTGTCTGTCAGTCAGCCCGTCAGTGAAACTAGCTGAAGCTAGGTGCTCATTCCAAAATGTAGATTCGAATGGAGAAGAACGAGCAAGAAACTCCATTCGTTGCTCTTTTTAAAAAAGTATGTTCTACAATGTACGATACATATTTCAATACTGTACGCATATGGGAGAAAAATGCAAAGACACGCTTGACATTCATTCTACCCGTACACCACATTACTAACTGCCAACGAATAACTTAATAATTATTTCCTGATGTAAAATTGCCTATGTAAAAAGTTACGAGCTTTGTCAGTCATTTTAAGTGTGACTCAAAATCGCTCTCGACGTGGCATCACATAACTCTTTAAACGTCTGATTAATCTAGTCGATAATAATCTCTTTAATATATAAATGTTTCCTTAAATATTAATATAATTCTGAACTGATAACGAAATTAATAATTAATGAAGTCGAATCTCGGAGCTTACGTAGGTATAACTTATAATAGAGATTATATGAATGGGAATTCGTTAAACACCTAGCTATTTTAATGTATCCATGTAAATGGGCTGACTTAAGTCTATATAGATATTTGATTTTATAATATCTTTTATAATTCAACAGTGGAGGTCTCACGCGGTTTGATTCTGACATCAGAAAGCTCTAAAAGGACTTCATTTTCAAATTTTCAGTATTCTGTCTTGTATTGAAAATCTGGCTTTACGCAATATACGCGCATTAAAATGCATGTATATTGCATATTTTTGCGGTATTCTGATGTGGGTACACTCAATCACAGCAGTAACTAAAAACGAAAGAATTTTATATTTCTTTCTTCTGACCATGGATGTTGTTCGCAGGTTATGATGCAGGCGTCTTCGAGCAGCGAGCGCACCCCGCTGGTGCAGCCGACGTATGTCTTCGAGTCCAGCCTCGCACGCCGCTACCAGAAAAGGCTGCATCACATGCAATGTGTCATGTGTGTTTTTATCATGTAAGTATTGCTACATCTGCTGATAATTTGATTATGATGCATGTTATGACATTTATGACCAACTTTCAAAAACCGGTATAGGTTAACAATGAGATACCTATCTAGTATAAGTTAGCGGTACCAATAGTATGTTTAATATCTTCTCAATCATAATTATTTAACACAAGTTAACCGTAACTGCGTTTTGTCCTTGTTAGAAGCTAAAGAGAGCAGAAGTATTTAAGTGCCATTTAATATTATTCTCGCTGACTTGACTTTCTTTAACAAAGTCATAGACTTCTTGTATTCAATTTAAATTAAAATAAATTATAATTATAGCAAGAGCAAATGAGCTTCATAATCCTTGCATTAGCAATAAGAAATTAGTCTAAGAGCTATTTATATTTTTGCTATATTATTACCTCTTTAGGGAGGAATAACGAAATATTACAACAACACTTAAAATGTCTCGTTGGCCGAATAGTTGCAATTGCAAGTGCGACTGCCGGGCAAGGGGTCTTGGTTTCGATTCCCGGGTCGGGCAAAGAGTTACTGGGATTTTTTTTAAATGTCAGTAGTAGCACGGAGTCTGGAATTGTGTCTGGTATATGGCAATAGGCTCACCCCGTATTACATGCGACTTATAACATAAATAGTGAAAAGTGGGTGTTACATTGTACAGTGCCATTAAGCGCCGTAATGTACACCTCTGCCTACCCCTTTGGGAATAAAAGGCGTGATGTTATGTTATGTTACTTAAAATGCCGCATGACGCCTCTAATCAATTTAAATAGCTGATAAACATTCACTTATGTAAGTTACTAAAAAAATATAATATAAGTAATAAGAAATCGAAATACATACCTATTATGCTAAATTGATAATTTAAAAATAACTAAGTAGTTGTACGTTATGTATGTAAAAAGGTTTATTCTTATTTTTTATAGTTCCTCGTTTATTTAAGGTATATACTCAATAACAGGTTCTAAAAATTAAAATCTTGCTTAAAATTATTGAAATAAGTTCTATCTGAATAATTATATCGGTAATGGCGTACTTTAGATCTATCGGTGGTCAGATCGAGGGCTTGTTATTCAAAAACTATAGCCTTGATTTTTTTTACCTGTTTTTGACATACCTACCTAGTAGAATGTTTATACCTACAGACTGTTTTATTAAGTTTTTTGATGATCATGATGACATGATGTGTTAGCCTGTAATTAATTGTTCCACTTGTTGTTTCTCTTACCTTTTAGTACATACATACATAACATCACGCCTTTTATCCCCGAAGGGGTAGGCAGAGGTGCACATTATATCACTGTACAATGTAACACCCACTTTTCACTATTTATTTTATGAGTCCCGTGTAATAGGGGGTGAGCCTATTGCCATATACCGGGTACAATTCCAGACTCCGTGCTACTACTGAGAATTTTTTTAAACTCAGTAATACTTTGCCCGACCCGGGAATCGAACCCGAGACCCCTTGCCCGACTGTCGCGCTTGCGACCACTCGGCCAACGAGGCAGTCGAGGCAGTACCTTTTAAGTCTTGTAATGTACCTATATAGTGTAAACAATAGGGTTGTTTCAAATTTTACTTTAATGTCCGTCTGGTACATTAATTTAAAACTTTAGACACGTATTTTTTCTTTTCTCACAAAATTAAATACTTTCGACGTTATATTTATCTGAAATATCGTGTGACGTCACAGCGTGTTACTTTGTAGCACGTTATGACGTAACGACCTCCCACTCCTAAACTTAGCGCCATTTCATCTAAGTACCTATTGCAATTAAATACGAGAAAATAAAAAATACATGTCTAAAATTTTTTCATTATCTAACTGACGGACTAATTAGATTGTTAATTTTGTTACCCTGGAAACTACCCAATTGTTGGTTAACCAAAATTAACAAATAAGTCGTGAATGATTATTCAAATACTATATTGCGTTTAACTAATCTATTGCTTACAATATATACCTAATTACTTTAATTATCTTAGGTAGGTAGATAGGTAGGTGTACCTATATTACGTTTACTACGTATGATTTACTCAGTGTTAATATTTTTTATTTTCTCTAGCGCAATATTAATGGTGGCTCTACTGGTGACCATTTCATACAATTTGAGCCAGGATATGGATGATGACATCACCACGGAGCCTAGTGAACCTGCACTGCCTATACCTGGGGGTAACTTGACGCTGCTGAAGATGTCCCCAGGAATGGCATCATCTGGTAATCCTGGTAACCTCACTCTGGTCAACGGCACACTGATGGCTATGCCACCTGCCTTACAGCCTCTACTGGATTTGAAGTGGCCTTTAAAAGGTATGTTTATAATAATTTTCTTAAACTTGTATTAGGTGCTTTCCCAATTTCAGCTTAAATTTTATTATTTTAGTGATTTTAAGTAAACAATCGTCCAGTATTAAAAGATCAGGATACAGGGTTCACGGAACACTTTCAAAAAACGAAGACAAATTGAATGGTAAAAAACAATATTCATTTTTTAAAAAAGAAGAATTAAATGTTTTTAGATAATAATAATAGTTGTAATCAACTGCTCAAGGCTGATGTTGCATTAATAACACAAAAACAAAAACAATTAAAATCATAATAGTTAAAATGTTGTCTGCGCTTTGGGCTGCGTTCCGTTTACATCCTGCATAGGTCCTCATATAAAATCGAATATAAGCTACGTTCTAGAACAATAATGCAGTACACCACCCATTGTACACATTATTTTATGTTTATTTTTCTATGTATGTTTTATGGTGTAAAATAAAGTGTTAAAATAAATAAATGTCCACTCATCAACAAAGAAACATTTAAAACTGCAATCAACTTTGTTCAAAATGTCCCGAAACAAAATCATGTATTTCTATTAAACAGTTCATTTCCGCACTATATTGTAATTTGACGTGTTTGACGCCACCTAAAGCGACGCTGACGTAATAATAATATAATCGAAGATAATGTCAATGAAATAGATATAAATAAATGTATAAATAATAGATATTCTCATGTATGTTAATGTTAAAACTTTGTCATCGCTTTTCAATGTCTGTTTTCTGGCTAGTTTATCAATTTTGCTTGTTTTTATGTAAATTATTATAATAATTTGTATATTTATATTTTAATACTGTGCAGGAATGTATGGTCATATTTATTCGGCGCTAATGGCGCTTGTATACACTGAAATACTAAATCGATGAATGAAATAACAATAAGATGAATGGAATTAACATTATTCCCAAGGTGAAACTCATGAGGATATTAGTGGTACCTAGAAGAACATCAATGTAAGTTAAGAAACAAGTGCCTAGGTACATAGATATATTAATATAAGTAGCTACTATAGGTCTGACGAAAAGAATTTTCACAAATTTCCTAAAAAAAATCTAAGCACCAAAGCACAGAAAAGATTTTTACAAATTAGGTACTCATTCTTTTAATAATTCACATACGATCTGTATAGATTACCAGTAGCAGCATTTCAAATCAAATCAAATGACTGCTTTACTCTGATACAAACGTAAATAAAAGCGAAGCACAAATAAATATGCATATACAGAACCTTAGATACATAGTACGGAAACAACACAAGACCTAGTTTAGTAGGTATAGCTTAGTACAAATTTAATTTGGATGCATTGACCATGAAGTCAAAATATTTGCTTCCTTAAAGTTAGACTAAGCATAAATATATTTTATAGTGCATATATCTTCATGCATATATTGACGTAAAACATGATATAAATATGTTTCACACCTTCTATTAAGCAAATTAACATTTTCAAATTCCTTCCTCCCTTGTTTGGTTGACGTGGAATTGAAATCAGTATATTTAAGTTAATCGTTAGGACCATAGCACATCGAGTTTTTATACGCGCAGGTAACGCGCGTCTTCGTCGCCGTATACGCTGATTGCGTTTGCATTTATGCGCGTATACGCTCAGAGGCGGTTTCAAGATCGCTACGTGTGATTAAGTTACAACGTTGCGTTCAAATCTCGTATACGCGCATCATCTCCGCGTTGCTTGCGCGTACAAAAGGTAGGTCTTATATCAGTTGTTTATAACAACTGTAAGATTTATTGAACCCAATAAGGTCTCATGGGCTCCTAGGGCGACGCAAAAACCATTTGTCACTCATATGACAACACATAAGTGGTTATTCTGTGACATAAGACATGATCATTACAGCGAGTTATTCCTTCCACCATGCGATGAATGTTAATTTAATTATTACTTCTATTGAATTTATGTCAAATTCCTAGATTGATCCAATTGGATTAAGATCAGTACCTAATTAATTTCGGCCTTAAGAAAACAAGTTATGACAAGAGCCTAGTGTCACTACATACCATACAACCGGATTTCAATAAACCACATTTTAAAATGTGTTAACTCATGTGGGCCAACGCAAAACCTAATCTTTTTTCTAAATTCTCATCAATTTCTTCTTTTATTTCTAATTATTCGTCCACAAAGTACGCCGTGCGATTACCCACAGTAGCTACCTAACATCTATTATCAAGTTCATATCATCGTCGTCTCAGAAGCCCACTAAAGTACCGAACAGCAGCGCTCTGTAATAAAATGTGAACTTTTTAAGCGGCGATCTTCAACCGGAACGTTAACATTAAGAAAAAAGGAGGCCTATCATCCTGCAAAGGAGGCGTATCATCCTGCAAAGGAGGCGTATCATCCTGCAAAGGAGGCCTATCATCCTGCAAAGGAGGCCTATCATCCTGCAATGGAATATTACGCAATGTCTGCATGATAACGATCCACAAAGTCGCAAAAATATAATCAATGCAAAAGCTCTCATTGGCATAACGAATTGGTTAGAGAAACCAGTTTAGTTTGAATTCATAGCCATATAAAATGTTCTGATATATAAGAAATAATAATTTAATTACGATGGACGTTACACGTGGACCTTTGCTAATAATAGGTATAAAAATATCATACGAGGTTCGAATCACGCCTCGGATTTCGCATGAATATTTTGACTTTTATGATTTTGGTATAAGGCTGAGTCAGTGAGTCTCAACTAGACCAAGCCATACTCAACCTTATTTTCACTAAAGCCAAAAAACGTTTCAATCATGGGATCTCGTCATTTGGTCCTATTGTCATCAATCCCATTCATCCCAGGGGAAACTAGAGAAACTTTTAAAAATTATAGGGCGACTAGTGCATTTGTTAATTTTTTCATTAAGTACTTATTTAAAAGGATGGGACGGATGTCAAAGATATGAACCGGTAGCTGGAAAAAGCTTAAACGCTTTCTCTTTCTCTATATTATTTTTCCAACTAAGTATGCCTGAAGAGTAATTAAATCTTAGTAGTACTAACACACAATTGAGTTTCATTCAATGTGTAGTCGATATCCGACTATTGGTTCGACATTATGTTGCAGTAATTAATGTCCAATGTGCAATCAATTCCGTGCCATTTTGATTCCAAACGACCCATCAATATTACGAGTACGTCGGTGGAAAGGCTTAGGCTTGGGCTTAGGCTCTAGTAATTTGTTACAGATAACGGGCCTGTATGTAAATATTTATAAATAAACAACTGTTTTGTTTGTAAACCAGTTCGGAAGAGTAAATAGACAACAAATGTGAGATTCTGATACAGTTGACGTAAGAGCGCTCAAGATCATGGCCTTTTTAGCATATTGTATGCTAAATTTTAGACAAGACTAATGAATTCAGCTTTTTATTTATTATTATAATTTAGAGAACATATCAGAAAGATAATCTCAAACTGCTCTTATTTCACTGCGATTAATTACATCATATTTATTCTATAATTTGTAAATATTGTCATTAAGATCTGCAGCGGAGATTCTGCCTCTGTTATCTGATGACTATACCATCTTACAAGATATTTTTGCATTTGTAATCACATATTTTTGAAAATATATATGTATCTTACAGCAATAATTATATCATTTGATATTCTATCTGGGAGCTGTTGATCTACATATCGATTTATGTTATCTAGAGTTTATCTATATTGTCTATTATTTTAAAATATTTATATACTTAAACTCCACGAGTAAGATTGTGATCTAGCTAGACTTAAGCAAATAGCCTGATCGCATAAACTTTAAAAGGCAGATTACGAGATTACTTATTTTTATTGGCTGTTTTAGTTAATTTTAGGCTATATTTGTATTTATTTATATATTTATCCATAATTATGTTAATCACAAAATGGATTGAGATAAACGCGAATAAAAGCTATAGGCTTCAATAATATTACCTAAGTAGTAGCAAGCTGCTTGGAATTATACTGTCTACAAAACTCTTTATATTTCTAACTACAAACCTTTCGCATTTACAAATAAGATTTACTTTACATTAACACTTATTTTCCCCTCAGGACAACCACCAGCAGCATGGGCAAGCACGACTCCAAGCAAGGCTCAGATAGCATCAGCTCTTCTAGAAGGAAAGGCAGCTTTGAAGGAGAAGACGAAGGCGGAATGGCTGCGTCGGCCTCTGGACATGGACACACCAGCTAATAGAGCTCAAAGAGCGGCAGCCACTTCAGCTGATGTCAAGCCATTAGCTGACTCTGCTTATGCTGCAGAAATAGCCACTAAAGCTCTTATGAATGGGTAAGTAAAGTACCATGTTCCGCCCAAAACTCCATCAAAACTGGAGCCTGAATTATTCAGACAGAGGCAGGAGATTCTGACACTTCACAGATCACCTATATTATTTCTATGTATGCTTGTTAACTTTTTGATAATGATTTACAGTTTTATTAATGTTTTTATGTAATTTTGTACTTAATAAATGTTTTAAAAAAAAGTTGTATTGTGGCTACTTTTTCATTTTATGAACGTGAACGGTATGACGATGCCAAACACGAGAACGTGTGAAACGTTATGAAGTTTTTATTTCTTAAAGTGTGTACTCCATTTTCATAGACCATCTACCTTCATGCCTTTACCTAGCTCCATTGAATTGAACAATAGCTGTCGAAGAATATCAAAAGACAAAAATAATAAATTAAAATGCCAAGTTCGCATAAATTAACGTTATGGAAAGTTTCCAATCACGTGCACTTAAGCTAGCATTGTTTTTTCAACTGGAGCAGATAATCATATTCCTAAATTTAATACTATCTTAATAATAATCATCCGTCAAAACATCTACCTTATAAATTACGAGGCAACCTTTAAAAGTATTTAATTAATTACTAAAAATTAAATTGCACCATAGGCTTTTTTTGTGTTTCTAAATTATTGTTGTGTGTCGTAGCAAAATAAATGGTTTTTCTTTCTTTCTTTCTATCATTAGTACCTACTATCGAGTGTTCTTAGCAAACTCCTGCGGTTCTTAGACACAATTATTCTAAACAATAGAATTTGTGCGTCTAATAAGACATAATTAACAAAATGTTGTGCTAATTATGTTTACATGTAAAACGATACTGGTATCAAAAAACTGATCTTATTTCTGATATTCAATATTCTGTTATCTTATCTACAGTCGGATCTATTTACCCTCTACCATAACGTCTTATAAAATAGTAGGAAATCATTTAAATGTGAATTATGGCTGATACACCTTCTCACGCTTTGATCTTTGCACGCTTTTTGCTTTATTTTGATTAAGTGCTATTAGAAGAACTATATAGTATTTTTAATTACTTAGAAGCTTTGACATCTTTATCTTACGTTTCAAAGAATCATACCCCATTGATTCATTATTAGTTTTAAGAATTGAAAATCTGTTTATACATCATTTCTCATTTTCAAAATAAACAAACATGATCCATAAATCCATCTATTCCAATACATTGAGTGGTTAGTTCAATTGATGGTCAGTATCATCCGGTCACCTAGATACGGTCAATTGGCTCCCCACTGCCGGTGCATCTATATCTACTGCATGTACTCTAGACGTAAATTTAATGCAATTGAGTCTCAGACTTAGAAGATCTTGCGTTAAAGATTGGCTTTGTAAAATTTTTCCAGGTTCTCTTAATTATACAAAACTAGCATCTGCCCGCGACTTCGTACGCGCAATCCCATTTCCCCCCCGTTCCCGTTCGTGATTTTCGGTAAAAGTAAAAAAAAATTAGATAAAAGTATTCTATGTCCGTCTCCTGGTTCTAAGCTACCACCCCGCCAATTTTCATCCAAATCGATTTAGTCGTTCTTGAGTTATAAATAGTGTAACTAACACGACTTCCTTTTATATATATAGATAATTCTCATTCACACAAATAAATAAAATACCTTTTCAAAAATTAAGTACAACACGTACGCTTCTATAGAAAATTAGACAATTTACAGTAACTATGAAAGAGATATGTCGAGTTCAACGAAACCTTCATTCTTAAAACCACTATCAAGTTTCGTAAGAAAGTCTGATAAGGTCTTCTCTAAAGTGCTGATCACACAAAAGCATGACTTAAGTCGATAGATTAAAAGTATTAAATAGAAGATAGTGGATACCGTACAAATCTAATAAGAGACCAATGAATAGTTAACTTATAAATATATTAAATTTCTTGAGTCTGATTCTATTATTAAGTACTAATTTACCTTGCTAATCTTACATACCAGAAGGACAAAACCTACGCAAATAATTCGTCTAATTATAGCACCAAATATTTCAATGACGCGTTAAAAAAATATTAAAAATAAAATAATTGACTAAAACGCGTCACGATACGTCGGAACCAAAATCACTTCGGTATCTGCATAAATGTATGGGATTAATAAAACTAAATAGAATTTCTTTGTTTGAAGTTGCTTGGATGCAAACAGCTGAAGAACGAGCTCAGTGCCGTATTATTGAAGAGGTCTTTATCCAGCAATAAACGACAATGGGCTGACCAGGTTAAATGGTGATGGTGATTGTTACCAGGAGAGAATGGAATCAAGCACCATGACGACGATGAATTTGGACGACGGTGTTTAATTATCCCACGTAATAATTAGAAGAACAACACACAGGTGAAACCGTGTGGAACAACAAGTATTGATATAAAGTGTAGACAAAATATCGTATGTCTGCAGGAATTAGGACGCTTGTATACCGGTGTAGGTAATTCGATATATTATCTGTGTTATAAAACCGCGTAACACTATCCCTGCGTTGGTTTGGCTTCACACCGCCTCAGTGGTCACAGGTTACCGAACTCCGCCAAAATATATCGATCTACTATAGTATGTGTTGCGCATAAATTGCTGTTTGAACTTTGAAGTAGATGTTAGAATAAATACCTTCTAATATCTTAGCTTAATGATACTATGAACCATGGTAAAGCGATTGCATTGGTCAAATCTGGATGGGTACCTAATGGTAAGAAAGATGAGGAAGAACACAGAAAAGATGGGCAGATTGTGTGAGGAGTGATGTAAAAGGGAAAGGAGTATGTGATGTGATGACGTCATGACGTCTGATTGGAGAGAATGGTAAGAGAAGAAATCGTGCTGACTCCTCATATCTTACTTTTGCAACTAGGCCAGGAAGATAATTAAAAACCGTCAATAGAGCTAGGGCAGGCAAAATTAAGGTAAAAAATGTGGAAACAATACATGTCATGACTTGTATAATTGTTTCCACATGTTTAGAAGAAAATCAGGTAAGTCCGTATTAAATTACATTGAGGTACAATTAGGGGTCTAGTTGTCTTCATCTTACATGAAGTAAAGTTCAATTTTGACGCCAAAATAATTCTGCAAGTTATTCATAAAGTTTCCTACAACAGAGTAATCGTTAAAGCAACATGGATGTCTGTCAACTTACTAGTGTGTGACATTTATTCACACATCATTTCATTTACGATGCGGAAGATATCAACTTTCATTTGGTTTCCATAACTATTGCATAAGCAATATCACTCTCTGAACTTTCTGTGGGACCATACTTAGCTTAGAAACTAATATTACTAGAGTAGAAAAGGCCCGTTCGTCTATCGGGACCCAAAAACCATTACAATCGAGCGCCTGATGACCGAACGCCCCATGTCAATCGTAAAAAAACGTATTGCTACGCCGGTTTTGTTATCAATGAGTTTCTTAAAATCAGTTCTGTTGTCAATTAGAAGTTACTTACAACTTTAAAGTTATTTAGTAATTCTAGTATATACAATTATATATCTAGAGTACATGTTATTGATATGAAATCGAGAAAAGAATATACCTCATTTTAACCTTATTTACCTATACCACTGATTACGAATGCGTAGCGCGAGCGCCTAATGATAACGTTGAACATGTTGTTGTCGTAAACAAACTAGAAGCTATGTTATTTATACTTCATTTATAATATTCTTCGTCAATCTAATCATCAATTTAATCCTCATCATAGTCTATTAAATAAATACAAAATAAAAATGATAACTCATGAAGTATTTCATTCTTTCGTAAAATTCTATCAACTAACTTTATTCCACTAATCCCAGGCTTACATTCGGTTGCTTACAAAGCGCCTATTGATGTCGATAGTGATTTCAACCGTAAACAAATTGTTTGCTATATTTTTTACACCAAACACCATACATACACACGATACAAAAAATACACAATAATCACAAAGTTTGACTGAAATTACCATCACATGATGTTTAGACAACCGCAGCTTACATGTAACTTTCTTTATTTTCTTCATTCCAGCACAGACATTTCCCTGCGCCCTGGAGGAGCGGGAGAAGGTCCTCCTCTGAACGGATCATTCCCAGAGCCGCCCTACTGCAGCACCACGCCCATACCCTGTACTCTATCCAGGTACAGAACCACAGATGGCACATGCAACAACCTGGAGAATCCATTGCGTTGGGGAGTTTCTAAGACTCCCTTCCGTCGAGTGCTACCTGCAGACTATGGTGATGGTAAGTAGCAATCTGAGTAAAGATGATGAAGGACGTATACACTTAAAAGATGATAGGTAGTAATAGTATAGGTACCATTGGACAGATACCAGCACATCAAGGAATCTGAATTGTCTTCCATAATATAAATTTTCGACGTCATTCCAAAATAATACAGTTGAAAATTTCCGTAATTCTATTTTTTAACTTCTATTCATCTCCTATAAGTTCTAGGCACTAGGCCTATCTTTGGGCTTAAGCACGTTATCACTAGTAAACCAGACAAATTCTAAACTCTTAGGAATGAAATCACTGAAAATTGTAACCTAGAGTAAAAGCAATAAGGTAGATTATAATAATTGGATCTTTTTATTCCAGGTGTAAGCTCCCCTCGGCAAGGAGTGGACGGAGCAGCCCTGCCGAGCGCTAGGGACGTGAGCGTGACGGTGCACAGACCGAGCTATGCGCACGACTCCGCCTTCACAGTCATGTTGGCCGTGTGGGGACAGTTCGTGGACCATGACATCACTGCCACTGCTCTTAGCAAAGGTACGATATGAACAAGGAAACAAGGAAACTATCGTTTTTTTTTTCTTCTCTTCTTATAATATCTTCTGATCCACTTCGTTGCGGGAACTAAGACAGTTATTCATGTGCCTTGGACGCGCCGGACTTCAGTGTTCCGGTGTTTTCATGGTTGTATCTACTGTAGATCCTGGCTTACAGCAGTTGCAGCGGTTTTGGGAGGTTTTGGTGGGCTTGTCCCATTAAAAAAAACATGGATAAGAAAAGATTAAGGTAGCATAGGTACCTATAGCAAGGAAGAGCTGTAGACGGATCACCTGAGGGTAAACAATCAGCATGGCACCCGAAACACTAGAAAAGTTAAAAGGGCTTTGCTAGTAGAAAAGAGTACGCTCTTTTCTTGGACGTCTGTTTTGATGTTTCAACGCTGCCTGTACAAGAATAAGAGCTTTCGTCTTTTTAAATGGGAAGACTCATAAAATATTAAACATATCGCCCCACTCATATATCACGTTCATATTATTGTGAATGTTGTTTGTATGCAACCTTATCGAGATCGATTTATTAATGTTTTGCATCGACTACCAAGTAGTGATTATCATTTATCATGTCAACTTTTCCGTACTTACCTTATGAGCCCCATAGCTTGGCAACCAAAGATAAAATGTAGAACATATCTAAGTCAGCTAATGTTCTCTCTCTTTCTATCTCCAGGTCAAAACGGAACAGCTCTATCTTGCTGCGACCCGACACAGACTCCTCACCCGGAGTGCTTCCCAGTACAACTGGATGTAGACGATCCTTTCTACCAGGACTACAACATCACCTGCATGGAGTTCGTCAGGTCTGCACCAGCTCCCACTTGCCATTTCGGTACGTTCACAAACTTGTTTACTTTTCCAAAAAATATTGGATGTGTTATGATGTGTTGTGATATCGCCCCAATTCTTCCCGCATCGTAAGAGTCAACTAGTAGTGCCTGAGTTCTAAAAAAAATATCATTTAACTGGTCAGCAGCGTTCTCTGGTAAATCTGAACCTTTGAAAGTGCGGTCTCCAACTCGCCTAACACGAGGGGAGACTATGACAAACTCCTCTAATGTTTTTTTTAAGGGGGGAAAATCATCGAATGACTGCTCCCTCCTGGGTGAGGCGGGAGGGAGTGTCAGACTCTTACTGACTAAAAACCACCCCGTTCCTTCTCCTGCACATTGAGCCAGGGCCCCGGTAACCCGTTAGGATCTCCGCGACATCTCCTCTAATGTAGAGGCCCATATTAATTGCAGTAGTGAACTGACACGGAGTGTTAATGACCATATATCATTAAGTCACTTATGTAGATAACTGTGAAACAAAGACTTCCAAAAACGATATTTATAATACATCATAATATCTATTTTCCAGGTCCCAGAGAGCAGTTGAACCAGGCTACAGCATTCATAGACGCGTCCACAGTGTACGGGTTCGCAGAGGCCCGTAGTGCGTCATTACGGTCTTTCGTTGGAGGACAGCTGCGGATGCTGAAGATAGGAGCCACCCAACTACTGCCGCCCTCTACCGACCCTAATGACAGCTGCAACACTGCTGAGATGAACGCTAAGGGACGATACTGCTTTGAATCAGGTATGATTTGATGACGTTGAAAATGTTGTGATGGCCCGGATGTTTAAGACGCCCGTTTCTCATGCGTGAGAGTGTGGCTTCGAAACTTACCAACTGACTTTGGATGACTTTTTCCGAGTTATCTAGACACCACTGACAAACGGTGAAGGAAAACATCGTGAGGAAACATACACTAATAATTTGTAATTATTAGTTTGAAATCGCCAACCCGCATTGAGCAAGCATGGTGATTAATGCTCAAACCTTCTCCGTGTGAGAAGAGGCCTTTGGCAGTGGACACTTATAAGCTGTTGATAATGATTTAATGATATAGTTCCTAACGGTTGCCATGGGAAGTATGAACATCTATAACACTGGTTGCAGTTAATATGAATCTTATAAATGTCTAAGTTTTAGTCTAAACCAAAATGAGCACTTATGGCACCCTGACTAAGTTGCAGACGATAGCAGTCGTCCTATTAAAAAAGAACTGATATCCCATTTAATCTGTTTAGGACTTAGACTAACAAGTATGGGAGAGCCATGCTTCGGCACGAATGGGCCGGCTCGGAGTGATACCACGGCCTCACAGAAGACCGACTTGAAACAACGCTTGCGTTGTATTTCTTCGTGTAGTGTCGTGGAGCCCCAATTACCTCCCTCCCTAGTCTCCCTTTTCTCCCGAATCCGTGAAATCCGGAAATTTGAAGATTATCCGTGGAGGATAATCTACAAATTTCCAATTTCTAAACGGCCGGTAACGCACTTGTAACGCCTTTGTGTTCTGAGTGATCATGGGCGGTGCCGATTGCTTACCATCAGGTGATCCGTCTGCTCGTTTACCGGCTTATGCCATAAAAAAAACTCCATATCAGAAAGACAAAAATCTACCTTATCTGAAAATTTCGTCCATTACTTTCATTCAAAGCAAAGCATAGCGCAAAACACAACTTTCTTACCTTCTCTGTGATCAAAATAACTATCAAAATTCCCTTAAAGGTCAATATTTTGCTAATGTCTTCTCTCCATTTCCAGGAGATGACCGAGCAAACGAGAACCTCCACCTGACAACGATGCACCTAATCTGGGCGCGACAACACAACCGCGTGGCCGCCGCGCTGCGCAAGTACAACCCGCTGTGGGACGACGACACCGTGTACCAGGAGGCCAGGAAGATACTAGGGGCACAGATGCAACATATCACCTATTCTGAGTTCCTGCCTAGCATACTTGGTAAGTGGGATAGATAAATATCAATAAGGGAGTAGATATGGAACTGAGCACCAGATCATGTTTGGGGATTCCATTTTTGAGTACCCAGTCTAGTATTTAATTGCTACTCAAATATTGTCCCAGTAATGGCAATAGATAATTAATAATTGAACAAGATTTTGCAGGCTGGTAAAAACCATCATCTACTATATAAAAATAAGTCAGGTTTTCCTTCCTGACGCTATAACTCTAGAACGCACGAACCGATTTCCACGGTTTGGGATTCGTTGGAAAGGTCTCGGGCTCCGTGATGTTTATAGCAAAGAATGTTACATAAAACGAAGCCATCTGGTAGTTTGCTAGTAATGTTTAAAATTGTGATTTACGACCCTAATGTCACCTTAGATTACAATTAATAAATTAATTTAAATAATAATTTAATGTTCACTTCGTAACATTATGAGAAGTCTCAACTATTTTCGACCTCGTAAGGAGCCCGTAAATATTAATATTGTTATGTTTATAACAGGATCAGACGTGATGTGGGCTCTGAACATGACGGTGGAGGAGGAGGGCTACTCCGACGTGTACGACCCGACCGTGGACCCTTCCATCGCCAACCACTTCGCTTCTTGTGTCTTCAGATTCGCACACACATTGCTACCGGTAAGATGAATTTGGGAACTTAATTCTCTAATTTTTCCTCATCATTCTTTTATGTGGAAGAGGCCTACCACAAATTCACAGCTGCTCGCAACCTTATATCTGTGTATTACGAAACACCAGAGGCGTTACAAATGTGGATTAGGAATTGCAAGATTTTTGGGTATTCAGGGATTTGGGCTATTGGGGAGGGGGTGATCGGGCCTTCGATAACCTCACTTACACGACGAAACACAACGCAAGCATTATTCCACGTCGGTTTTCTGTGACGCCGTGGTATCACCGAAGCATGGCTCTCCCACACTTAAACAGTTGATTATGCCGAATAAATCACTGTATTGCTATCCCAGGGTCTGATCCACAACACGGACAAGAGTACGGGCACGATCCAGTACACGCACCTCCACCAGATGTTGTTCAACCCGTACACGTTGTACACCAAGAAGGGTCCCATTGACGCTGTCACCTCCGCCATGGCCACCCTCGTACACGCTGTGGACCCACATGTTACTACTGAGGTAAATTAAATAAAAGATTATGGTATAGACTGCCTCTTTGGCCGAGTGGTCGCAAGTGCGAACTAATACTGGGTTTTTATAAATATCAATAATCGCACGGAGGCTGAGAAAGTGCTCGGTATATGGCTCACCCCCTATTACATGGGACTCATAACATAAATAGTGAAAATCCAGTTGTAATGTTATTCATCCCTTGTAATAAAAATGGGAAGATGTAACTAATATTCTTTTTGGATTAGAACTGTGCATTAAGTTTGTGATAATGCATTAAGTACTATGTAGTATGTTAAGTTGAAACTAAAGAACAAGAACAGAAGTGTAAATGAGTCGAGGTCCCGGTACGGAGCAAATGTTATAATGGGATTATAATTATGATGCTTTTCCACCCACAGAAAGAGATTAAAACTCATCAAGATAGTAATTTCAAGATATTATTCTTTTTCTAGCTAAGCAACCATTTGTTCGAGAAACCAGTGATCGCCAATACATCAGATGCTGATGACAAGAAGCCGGGTCCATGTGGGTTGGACTTAGTCTCCCTGAACATCCAGCGCGGCAGGGACCATGGTCTACCTGCCTACCCGCAGTGGAGGGAGCACTGCGGACTGTCCAGGCCAAGGAACTTCACCGACTTACAAGCTATTTTCGACGAGTCCTCGCTCAGTAGGATTTGCAAGATTTACAAGTAAGTAACCGACAAAGTGAGATACATTAAGGGCTTTTGATAAAATAGCCTTGATTTCTGTGCTATCTTTATATAATGACATTTCCAATTTATTAATTACAAACTGTGTGCTGATACTGAAGTTTTCGAAGCTGATAAACAGTTTTTAATATATTTACTTTTCTTGACCTCGAAACTGGAACCACTTATGATTTAAGTAAATTAAACTGTCAAACACCAAGCGGTCACCGGTGACCGCGACCTATTGTTCTTTAATTGTGACTACAAAACCGGTACTCGACGAGTTAAGTAAAATCGCGGGCTACTCACGTGAATATACTGAGTGAGCTGCACGACGTCGCCGCGACCGCGCACGCTGCTCATGAGGAAGAACCTCTCTGTGGTTCGAAACTAGTAGAGCTTTTCTCAGTATATTCACGTGAGTAACCCGCGATTTTACTTAATTTAGTGTGTCTCACGATAGTTATTATTTAAAAACCACTTATGATTGGCAATTGGCATGGCGGCGCCATCCATGAACACCCACAACACTTGAGAAGTTACCACTCCGTTACTGCCCTTTTGGGGATTTTCGACTTTCGTTCTTTCTCGACTCATACAAAGAAGACAGTCAAAATAACCCAATCCTTTTTACAGTTCAGTAGACGATATCGACCTATACACGGGCGCGTTAGCAGAGGACCCTAAGGGTCGTCTCCTAGGCCCCACCCTGACCTGCCTCATCGCTGACCAGTTCTACAGGATCAAGGTCGGCGACAGGTTCTGGTACGAATCTTCCGATCCCACCCTTGCATTTACTTTGGGTAAGTTTACTTAGTCGCCACATTATTTTGTCTTACATTATTATTATCTTGCATTATTTCTACAAGTAGTTAGAACCAAGTTAAACAATATTCAAAGACGTCCAAAAATAGCACTACAGCACTTTTTAATGAAACATTTCTATCTCCTACAGAACAACTAGCAGAAATTCGCAAGACCACCTTAGCTGGAGTCATTTGCGCGAACGAAGACCTTTTGGACCAGGCCCAGCCTCGAGTGATGGAGGCCGTCAGTGCCACCAACCCACTGGTGGACTGCAAGGAGTTGCCACAACCTAATCTAAAAGCATGGGGCAAACCCAAGGCATCAAAGACAACGAAGTCCTAGGAAGGGAGTGAGGTAATGCAGTGATAGCTAGTCCGACACGAGGTGGATGTTTGAACCTAAACCAGTCTGATAATTGTATCCATGCCTATGTATAATAGTAATTTTAACAATTTGATTTAGTTTTTATATTTGACAGATTACAAAAATATATACGTACCGTACTTCACGCCTGTCTGTCTATTTATTTGATAAATAAATAAGTGAAAATACCTTACATCATATTGTATAGCCGTTTCAATTTGAAATAACCATTTGTTTATTTGGGCGTTGGTCCCAAGATATTACCCTGAAGAACACCTTGGACTTAGATGTAAAAGTAGTAAAAAAGCATATAATTTTACCCGATTTTGTAATAAATAAATATGGAACAATGAAGTTGTAGAAATAGCATTACAAGTTTGTGAATTTTTGAACAGATTTAGGACTTTAAGCTAAAAATAAATCTGTGTTGTGGGTCGAAGTCCCACACGGAACAAATACTAGTACACAAATCTGTTGTTCCGGGTCTATTTTATGTTTATCTATGTAACCATTTAATACAGTAGAAATATGTTAGTATACGCACCCACGAACAAAAGAGAAAAATGTTAGAATAGGTTCAAAGATGCAGCTTAAAATATAAGTGTACATAAAAACGCAGTTGTAGAAAACTTTATATTATACATTATACAATGTTTCTCCATAGATGAAATTGTTTAAGATATTGAGTTATCGATATCAAATTCCAATTACTTATAGAAAGTTTTATAGTAAAAATTACGTCAATGTCGAAACAAAAGTGCCTCAATTTGTTAATAAATAAATTATTGTTACACAATTTAAATATTGCTGAATAAAATACTCACATAAAATACTCATACGCTGTAGTTCCACGTAATGTAGATATTATAGCTTTATAGTACCTTAATAGAAACATCGATTAATTGATTACTAATCATATACTTGATTGTAGACAATATGTATGTATCCTCATTACAAGGCAGTATGTTTGTGTTACCTGTTTTGTAAAGTTATTGGCAGTGCTATAAATAATAATTAATTGTTACGATGCCATTAGAATATTAATAAAATAATTAAATCTGTTTTACACGACATTGCTGAAATGAAATGCTTCAATGTGTTTATTGATATGAAGTAAATTGGTTAAGAAACAAATTGTCTTTTATTTATGCATCTATCTTTCTAATGTTCGCAATTTGCAAACACAAGTCGACCATTCTGGAGAACCTAACGGGTTACCGGGGCTCCGGTTATCCATGCAGGAGAAGGAACGGGATAGTTTTTAGTCAGTAAGAATCTGACATTCCCTCCCGCCTCACCCAGGCGGGAGCAGTCATTCGATGATTTTCCTCCGTTAAAAAAAAGTCGACTATTCTGACAAAATGATTTACCTAAAACGTTCTTATCGTTACCATCAGTCTGTTCTGTTACCATTCAATGCTGACCATAGACCTCTCCATTCTCCAAGACTATTACGTCACTGTACACGATCTTCAGCATTTCGCCTTCGGCAAATTGTACAAAAATAATCCTAATTTTTTATTCTGCGATAAAAATACGTCAATAAAGAAATGATGAAAATAGAATAAACGTAGCAACTCTAACGAATAATAAACAAGGTCATTATCACATTGAAATTGGATCCAAATTCTCTAAATTAATGTGGTCGCCGGGAGGAAATCCAAAATTTGATCCATTACCACCCACAGACGCAGCGGTAAAAAAGTGAAGCTATGTAAAACACGCCAGTTGCCATCACAACGAATAGTGATGTGATTCAAGCAAGATTTATATATTCCATATTAATTCAAGTCTTGTGCCGTATACGTATGGAAATATAATATTAATAGCAATCGTACCTCAATTTCCCGTTTCATCCATATTTAGGAAATCATTATTATCCTCAATTAACTGTGGTCTCCTGTCCTGTTCATTACTTATCGTTTCACTTCCACTAAGCTCGTCTCTGTTAGTTACCTTCTTTTCTAAATAACTTACCTATTAACTTGTACCTAGCTACTAAATGAGTGTTATGCAGCTCATTGTCTTGACAATTACTTCCGTCACCCACAGTTCAGGCGTGTCATCTTCCGTGAAACACACATAATTCTCCATTATCCTGCACTTAAATAGACTACAATCCTTGCAGTCTTGCAGGACTGACCCCAGCACTATGCACGAGTGAGTCACTACTATTAGCATTGTTATATGGGTGACCGTAGGAGGACGATGGCCTTGTAGCCTCTACAAACTTCAAGCTCCTCGACAAACACACACGTCATCTAAACTACACACCTGATTCACAATTCTGAACTTTATAACACCGTTTATAAAGATATGAAGGATTTTGGAAATGGCAAAAGAATATTTGTAAAGTAATGAAGGCCGGCTGATGTCAGGATTTGTTAGCGTGTCCTGTGCGATTCTCTCAGGACCTTGAGTCCACCTGTCTTTGGCACTTAATTGGCTAATATCCAGCAAGTTACGAGCTTAAATGTGGTATTACCACCTTTATGGCTTCAAGGCAGGGTTAGTAAGGAACAAGACAATGTGGTCGACCTCACAGCTGCCTTTCTTTCCTTACTGTTTAGTTCGTTAAGTGTCAAATTAGCGGTGACCCTTGTTTGTTAATTTATGCCTCAATTTACCTGTACGGCTGTACCTACTGGAGTTATTAGTAATGGTTTACCTGAAGTATGAGTATGTTTCTCGTTAAGAGGTTGACGCTACGTGTACTTCCTCAGAACGACAAGTGTTGTGTTTCCTATCGTGTACTGGGCTGTATCTGTCTGTTGTGCAGGGTATATACTCATAATTTCCCATGTTTATAGGACATGCAGATTGCGTACGAAGAACAAAACAACTGTTTCTAACTATAGATGGTGACTTTAATCTGCATGGAATAATAAACAACGTGCAGATGTTGTTTTAATTGCCGTGTAGATGCAATATAGACTTTGTTACCAGAGATAGTAATAATATAACGAATAAAACTACGTATATAAACGTTCAATTACTATGTAAGTAAAACAGGAAGAAATATTGTTTAATAGTCCCTAATTTGTCGCTTTTCGGTCTACAGATCTTTCAATTTAATACCAGATGTAGTTCGGTTTAAACCGTTGACCTTATCGGACACATATTGCAAATAAATGTCGACACAAGAACATCTGCTGCTCAAAGACCTAGTTAATAGATGTGTATACAACCTACTTATTAGAGAGAAAAATAGATCTTATTTGAATCCAAAATACTACGTAGAGTATTTTCATGTGGGAGAGCCATATTTTGGTACAGATGGGCCAAATGTTAGCGTGACCTCTGAAAACAGGCGTGAACCAACGCTTGCAGTTAACCCCTATTGTCTATCGAATAGACTCTATCCTATTAAGTATAAACGCTAGTTATTCATAGTCTGATACATGGTTCCCTCCGCGACAGCATAAAGTTATATACGACTGATGAACACAAATTCCCCAAGTTTAATTTTCAAATGAAGTTAAATAGATGTCACTAGGTTTAATAGAAAAGTAGATATAAGTAAGAAGCTGCTTATAAGTAGTTGCACATACGCATATCACTTTACAAATGGACCTGCTAATAAGTTTTGTAAACAGATCCATGCACAGCTTACAATTAATAACATAGTCCATAACAACTATACTAATAAAACCATTTAGACTGGAGAGATAGAGATACATAGACAGGTACTAGCCAGCCATGAGGAACATCTGCCACGTGCTACAATAGTATACCTCTACATACAATGTTGGTGCGTATAGATAGACATGTTACCGGTGCACACAACTTCCTACCTTCCTACCTACGTATGAAATTCCAGATGTTAGGAATCACATTGCCTGAGAATAGATAACAATAAAGTTTCAATAATAATATAGCATTACTATTTTAAGAAAATCTCAATGATGACCTCAAAACACCATCTAAATATTCTAAACAATGAAATTTTACTATCTTTTCTCGTTTGTGACCAATACTTACTTCTATTTTCGGTTTTCAGCGTAGTAGACTAATGGAACACTCCAATACACGATATAGTTTACGAAGACCCAAAACTAGTAAACAATAAAGTATTTATATAGCAATATCTAATTATAAGAAAATCAATATTAAACCACCTACTACAGAAATGGCCTTTTCTAACATTGATATGTTTTCCTACGTCATTACTTATTACGTATCTCCTTTGTGACAATCAATTGGCACTTGTACACAGGCCAATAGATACGACAACACATTAAACGATTGGCACAACAAAACATTGTAAGTCGTTGCCATTTTGGACATGACGTTGTACTACGGGTGTGATATTGCTATTTTTGTCTTCAATTCGTGACGGTTTGGTTTCCTACACCTACTTGTACTATTTATTTGAGTTTATTTTAGAACTATCGAAAGGGATATGCCTTGAGATTTAGTATTGGATTATTGGGATACCTTCTTGAGCTCCTTTGGAGGATTGTAAAGAATTCAATTTATAAAGGATTCTACATACATAGTCGATTAGTCGTATACATAAAGCTATGCGTTTTCCCCATGATAACAAAAATAACGGAGCCTCATTTTCTTAAGTTTCCATTAGAATATGCTAAAGGAAAATAGAGTCTAATAAATGTGAACAATGGTTATTCGAGATTGATCACTCAAATTCTTGGAAATATGATAATGATCAAAATGAAAAACCAGGAAAACTCCAAACCCATTTACGTCAATACGTATAAATTCATTTGGGTAAGTAAGCGTGCTATTTAAGATTATAAGCCCTGTGTATCAAGAAGAAACTAGTAGAGTTTTCCCTAATAGTACAATAAGCTAAGTAAGTACAGTTTGATAAATGAATAATTAATTATCTATGTAATTTAATAAATAGAAACATTAACTACTCTTTAATGAAGTTATTTTAAAGAGGTACTTAAAAAATCATTACCATTGTGTAGGAGAGGCGATGTAAGAAAGTAAAATGATTTCGTGGGTCAACG